CCCCCTGTTTATTTTACTATNGCCAGGCCTGAGCCCAGGGTGTCTGCAGGGTCTTCCCATCATCCTGAGGGTCTTGAGCTGGGTCAGGATGAGCCTTTGAGGTTCCAGGAAGGCCTGAAGCTGGGTGCTGACTCCTGAGTGGGCTGGAATTTGGGGGGAGGGGCCTCAGGTCCCCTAAATGATGAGAACCCTAGCAGTGTGGCAGGAGCCCTCACTAGTAGCTCTCATGCTCCCCAGCAGGGCACTGATTTTTTCCTGGCTGCACATGGAGATGCCCCCCCCCCAGGGTTTCTGGTCCCAGGCTCGATTTGACTAAGAAGGGAGCAGGACTCTATCTGAGGCTTTCATTGGCCATTGAGATTTTAAATACAAGGCTGGTCACTTTTTATGACGTGCGTGGGTAAAGTGGGAAAGGGGCTCCTCTTTAAACGGAGCTCCGTGATATGCCAACGCAGGGATGGTACCGTGGGTGTTCACACTTATCTGTTGCCGTCATCCTGGGGTGATTCACTGGTACACTGCTAACGCAGCCTGGCTTTCTGTGGAGGCTGGATGCTGGGTGCTGCATGCAGAGGGGGAACCCTGCCGCCGGCTGCTGCTGGGTGACTCAGCTCCCCCTCTGGGCCTCAGTTTCCTTCTCTGTAAGGAGCTCAGGTTAGGCCATCTTTGAGGTCTGTTTCCGTTACTAGGTTTTTGGATTCCCGTTGCTCTAGGGATGGCTTCCCCAGGCACCTACACAGATTTCCGACACTTGCTTTCAGGCCACATGAGGTTACCCTGTGAGGCACGTCCCCCGTGAGGCGGGTCTGCCTGCTTAGAAGGAAATAGGAAAGGTTCCTTTCATTTGTACTATTTCTGATGCACACACAACTTTTAGAAAAATCCTGGCGAGCACGCCTCTGTGTTTAAATGATGATGTAACTTCTCTGGCCTCTGCAAACCACAGGCTCCGTCGGGTCATTGAGTGTCTGGCAGGACCTCTCAGCATTGAGTCAAAAGAAAAAGTGACGCTGAAACTACGTCTTCGGCAAAACTCACTAAAAACATGTAACCCCAGAGCTGTGGCCCCACTCTGCACCCCTCCCTGCAGAAGCCAGCCCACCTGCGGACCCATCGGGACGGACAGGTCCTGACAGGGGCCTCTGTCAACCCTTTATGCCCCTTTGTACACACCTGGGACAAGTTTGTCACTGTATTTCCAAGTCCAGGGCAGATCAGAAGTGTGGGTGGCCAGGTGAGCAGTAGCTATCTGGGGGCAGGCCGCCCGCAGCTCTGAAGGTGGAGCGGCTCCAGCCTCGAGGCCCTGAGGGTTCCTCGCGCCTTCCTCTGGGGGTGACCAGGAGGAGTGAGGACGGCTGTGTTCAGGGCACCAGGGCAGCCTTCCGAGGGCCGCAGCAGGAAGCTGGCGTTTTTTGCGTTATCTTTGTTTTAAATCTGCTGCTCCGTGTCCTGGGCGTCACCAGGCAGAGCCCAGTGAGCCGAGGGGTCCAGTGAGGCCGAATGTGCGTCTCCCCAGCCTCCTTCCCCTCCTTATTTGGCTGCCACAGTCACATTTTCCTCGGTTACCCGGCCGTTGCCATGGAGAGCGCCGTGTTTGTTTAGCAGGACAAACATTTTCTTCAGATTACAGCAGGCTGGCCTCGGGGACTTGGCTCCTGCAGGAAGAAGCTAGCCTGTTATAAACCGTGGCCTGTAGCACACCCGGCATGAGGGCTGGAGCGCAGACTGTGCGAGCCTGTTACATAAAGTGTGAGGACAGGCGGGATTAGCCAGGCTGCCAGAAGTCGGGCTGGGGGCCACCGGGCTGGGCGGTGGCTCGGAGGGTCACCAGAGGTCTCTGGGGGGCTGGGGACACCGGTGCTCAGTGTGTGGGCATTAAGCTGTGACTTTATGATTTGGGACTTTTCTGCATGTATTTATACTTCTGTCTCCAAGAGTCGATTGCCTTAGCGATGGAGCCAATTTCTGATTTCCCCGAGGAAATGAACTTCCCCCTTAGGCTCCAGGCTGTAGAATGAGAGCAGCCTTTACCTGCCGTAGGGTGGCCATGGCGGGTAGAACTGGGGCCCAGGCTGTGCTTTGGCCCCCCTGTTTATTTTACTATTTATTATGGAAACTCTGAATATATGTGAAAGTAGAGAGGACAGTGTAATAAACCCCCATGAACCCATCGGCCAGCTTCAAAGAGTTTCAGCTCTTAACCCCCCTCCTTCCATCCCCTCCTCCTCTCCCTCCCATGTTATTGCGAAACTGTCCGAGACTATGACCTCACGGCGGACGGCACTTTCTAACGGTGCTCTGTCCGGAGGAGGCAGCCCTTGCCACAGAGGTACGCTCGAGTGACCCCAGTCAAGGCCCGGGCTCAGCCCCTTGCCTTGGGTCTGGTTGTTCTCCAGGGATAGAGCCAGTGTGGGGGTGTCTGTGAAGGGGAAGCAAAGGGACCTCTCGGGGCAAGTGTGCAGGCTCATGCCCAGAGGTGCACCCCAGCTTCCCTGGCAGCCCCTTTCCTCCCCGGGCCCCTGGCACCCTGGACTGTGAGCACCACCCCAGAGGTGGAAACCCAGGCTTCCCGGGCTCCCTGGGCCCCGGGCAGTGCTCGCACGAGCAGGTGTCCGTGAGCATTTGCGGAAGGCAGGAGGCAAAGTCTGCTTTGACGGGCGCGTTGGATTTGCCAACTTGGCGACGTGAGATTGGCCCGTTCCAGCTGTTGCAAGCTGAGCGGCGCATTTGCTGGGATAACGAGGTTTGGGGGGATTCGGCTGGGTTTGCTGTTCCACACCTCTGCATGCCTGCCTGACCCTCTATGCGGAAAGGTGGTCTTTGTCTCAGGTAATTTTTCGACCCCTGCTCAGCGAGCCCGGCCCCGGGAGCTGAGCGAGGCCCCCTGGCGTGGTGGCAGCCGCGGGCGGGCCAGCGAGCCTGGTCCTTCACACACGAGCCGGAGACGGCGCTCCTGGCAGCGAAGCCTCTCCTTTTAAACAGATTGCTCCTGTTGCCGTGTCTGTGTTCCTGTGGTCAGGGGCAGTGACGATGCAGCGGGCGCTGCTGGCCGCAGACTGCGTGCAGACACCTGGCACAGCTGCGTCAGGTCCCCTCCCTGCAGCGTTGTGTGGCAGGGGCTGCTGCCCCCTCTGACAGATGATGAAACG